CTGGAGATATACCAAAGAACCCTCGAAACAGTTGTGAATTTACAAACTGACCTTGCTAATTCCTTTTACAGAGCCGACAGTCCTTTCTTTTTTGAATTCTCATATATAATTACACAGCCAAAAATATTGTTAAGGGCGTGCAACATTGTTACCATGACATTGTTACGAATGACAAATGTTGAGGCGGCAAATAACTGGGGAACTAAACGTTTAATAAGGCGAGCTTGTGCCGAAAACAAAATCGAAGATTAGCGTCGCAGGCGACGATGTCGGCGAAACAGCAGGATCGAACGCTTGGGTGAGACTGACTCCGCTCGCCAGGCGGAGTCCCTTATGCACCCGCGTAGTTTTCATGAACACTCGGCGTAGAAGTTTCGGCGCGTAGAACATTCCGAACTCGATCAAACCACAATGTTCTCGAACTTGCGAGAACGCCAAGTTGGAAGAATAAAGAAAAGAACATTCGGCTGACTGGAATGGAACCGACAACTTCCGCGCGACAGTCAAGCGTGATAACATTTGCATTTGGCCATGCGCTCGCTCGGCGACGCGCGTAGCAATATATCAACAAAATATTATTTACGAAACACTCTCATGATTTCTTCAAGTTCAAGGATCGGTGCGTCAATAATGACCACTTTGGTCACTCCTCTTCGACATTGATTTCAAGCCCCTCTGGAGACACATCGTAAGCAACAGATTCGTGCGCGGCTCTTGCCTCTGGTTTTGAGGTGAAGATCCATGCTTATGCCGACGACCTTGTGATTGTGCGCGCGGATAAACACAACATAGAAGAAGCAATGCAGTGCAATTCGGAGTTTTGTGCTTGTTCTGGTGCGGCTGTCAACAAGTAAAATACGTTTTGGCTCCTGGTGTGCGAAGAGGGAAACAACACCATTCATATCTGAAGACGTCATAATTTACGAGTACCAGGGAGAGGTATGGACAATCCCAAATCAATATCGGATAACGTCGGAATGAGTGTGAGTGCGGCTCTTTGCGAAAGGAAGATGATATACCCTTTAATATTTTGCCGAGTTTCAGTATGTAACATCCTAGTTGTAAAAATTAACGCACCTGCTCAGATCACGTATTACTGAAGGATGACGGCTAATATGTTTCATAGAATTTACGTGACACTCTTTTGGACGTCATTTAATGAACTGATGCTAAAATAAAATTTTCGTCAATCTGGTAAAAGTGGGGGTGGGGGTTGGTTTGTGTTATAACCAATTTTCTTACTGCAGGTAATAGTTTAATGAGAGTTCATTCAACAACCAAAACACCCGTTCATGAAACATTGCAAAAATTAATGTGTTACAAAAAACTTTGAACCAGACATCCAAATAGATTACACGGACAACATAACGGTCTAACATTTTATAAGAACGCAGCCGACACCCTCTATCACTTAAGAGTTCGACTTAATGAATTTTTTTTTTCTTGCCCGAGAAAGAGTTTAGTAAAACAAGTTTTGATCTCGCTCCCACATCCGTTGCGTCGTTCATGCCGTTTTAAACCACAGCATAAACGTCATCTGGGCCTAATGAAAGGGTTGAGTGAATGTCGACAGAACCAATATTCAAGACTCTCTCCTTTTAATTTTATTCAAGCACTGAGCCAATGGAAAAATAGATCGAATCCCGAGGTATTAAAAAACTATGGCCAATCGACTCCAGGCATTGTAAGACAACTGAACCGTTTACGCATGTTTTTGTTTTATGTGTTAATGAAGTTATTTTCTGCTGAGAAGTTTTAAAAAGAAAGCTGAAAAAGGATTTCGTAGATGAAGAAATACTTTTTCGCCGCTTAATTTTTTGATGACCACCTGAATAGCATGCTTGGTACACTTGAGGTCCCATGCCTTAGTGCTTTGATCATACTTGTTTTTTACGTTTTTTTTGTATTCGCTGCACCTTGCTCCCTTATAATATATTGGTGACAACGCGTCAGGAAAGTACTAAAACGTGTTTAAAGTGCGATGACGATCACCATTCTCAATCTGCGTCATGTGCCGGCCCCAATGCAGCTGAGTGTAGTGGCGACCGGTTGTATATGGCCATATGGTCGATCAGAGCTTGTATGTTGTGCTGCACCCATAATTCGCGACAATGCCAGTAAAGAAACAGTGATGGGCTAGAGGGGTTTATGCCACAGGGTCTCGTCCAAAAAATGGCAGGAATATGCCCCTTTCTTTAAAGAACAATCAATATGATTATTAGCGGTCAAGCAAACACCAACGATACCGAACAAAACACTTGTTGGAAACTGCTGCAACTGAAGCGCTAATAGTAGCACTAAGGAGGTACTAAGGAGGAATATTAGATTCTCAAGGTAAATTTGTGTTTGAAATATCCCCGAGAAGGGTGAAATTAAATAAACAAGACAAAATATAAAATACACGATCCCGAAAGTACTTGATCTCAGCACATCGCACACATTGTCGCGAGAAAGCGAGGCTCCAGACCATTCTACTACGATGTAGATTATTTACTTCCTTGCAAGGGGTGATTGCACAAGTCTCTTTATATTACAAACGCACTGCATGATTTTGGCACTTTTGCATGGTGCACAGATGGTGCGCATTTCGAAAAGTACATTACACATGCCGGGCCAATCGGGCTTGGACTCCAGTGTAGAAAACATACTTTCCACTTGCTTGATTCGTATAAAAAAAATAAAGAAACGAATTTTTTTTACACTGACGCCGGAACGCTTGACTGCCCAGAGTGCTCCCCTTAGGCTGCAAAGTTCCTAAAGAAAAAACATATCGTATGGGACACAGTCATCACTGATCACGTTCAAGAGACGTATCCCACACGACATATGTTCAATTGATTTCTCAACGAGTGCTGGAGGACGTGTAGGAAATACAGCGTCCCAGCCAAGTATAAAAACATACATAAGTGGTTTGGCTTGTTTTCAGTAAAGATACTCAGTCAGCTCTGGCAGATCTCTGCCTTTTCCTCTAAGGCACACCTTGGCAGGCAAGGTATTGGCGAGTAATTTGAGGAAGCAAGCTTATACTGAGGAAGGAGTACGCAAACAATTTAGTTGCTTCAGCACATTGTTACAACCTTGACAAACGACTCTCGGATATAAGGGTGTAGGGAAAATACTGATCAACAAGTCTCGACAAAGCTTTGTCCTATTCAGCCTGGACAGCTACTCTAAACAAACCGGCAGACGAAAACTCAGGTCATCCTAGACATCACCTTGAAAACCAAAGAGCTTTCCTGACTCGTCGCCTCACGAGGACAAGGAAAGGCGGCAAGTGAGGTGGCAGTCTAGTATGAATAAGCGCGCGTAAGAAGGTGTGCTCTTGATCGTGCAGAAACATAAAGCTTGACACCAGCTGCCTCACAAACGAATCTGTCAACCGCTAACCTATGCCACGCAGACGATAAAAAAATAATAACTAGCCTCCTCGGTTTGAGACTCGATCTTGACATAAAAGTAGCAAACACTGGATGAAATTCCTGCACGTTCGTACGGGCACAGTGTATTGTTTGCTGAACGTATAATACTCTTGTGGCGAGAAACAGATTGCATACCGTCACTCGGAAAAATATTGACAAATCACGCCTATTCCAAAGAAAATGGTTCCTCTCCAGGCCGGGGGCGACTCCCGACTAATTGGAATTATAAAATCGATAAATTTCAAGCGGCACGCCAAGGTACTTGCAAGGCACGCAATCCAGCACACGTTTTTGAACACTGAAGGCGTTGTGGTCAACGCTTGATGGCAAAGCTAGCGGCCCTTGTTCGAGTTTATGGCAGCCCGGTTGCCCCACACAGGTGATTGGGAAAAGTAATCGTGCCACTGACACGTCGCTAATCCATAATAAAAGAAGAAAAGAGGAAACTCTTTTTTTTTTCCTTACCGAAAGCTTCGATCTAGTTCTTTTTGCAGATGCTTAGAAAAAAAAATTTCTCAATATAAATTGAAAAAAAATAAGGGCGACATAATGCATTCTCGTTTTAGGATGATCGAGCATGAATCGGCTGTGCCCACTCCTTGCATACGATAAGCTCTGAGGTGCCTCCTTAAAAGGCAATTTTGAGTCTTCAAAATGAAATTGCAAACTTTCACGCATTTTAAAACATTGAAAATAACGTAATTCCTAACAAGTTAAAATGACTTGTCGAAATCCAATTGCAGTATATCAACTTAGCCCACGACACGTCGCATGGTTTGAAGACTTTGGGCACAAACTTCATCTTGGTTGTAATTGATCTGCCTTGAATCCTACAGGTCCATAGGTTTAAATAGGCTCACAGGCCACGCTCAGAAATCACCGTTTTATACTTCTCACGAAAATGTTTTGATCAATGTTACACAACGCAATTGGGTGAAGGTTAGTAACCTTGCATAGGTTCTGCACATCGTCACTTATAAAAGTGTGAACAGTGTATGCTCGAGTAAAGAACTGCGACAGCGTTTCCCATTGATGCGTTTAGCAAACTAGTTCTAATAAAGAACATAACAATGCATTCTTATACCTCTTTCAAAGACCAGCCTCTAGCCCATCGGATCCTGGTGTTTTCGAGTTTGGCATACCAGCAGATGTTACAATCGGTTGTTTGTGGTGTACTTAAAAATCTTTTGGCCATGGCGGCTGATGAAGTTTCTATGTATATAGTTTTGCCATTATTGTTTCTTGCGATAATATTAACAAAAACTGTACGCATTGCTCGTCAAGTGCGCGAATAGCATTCATTTCGGTCATATTTACAGCCACTTTGTCCCATTTTGACGAGAGAAATGGCGCTTTTGTTATCGAAGAGAGGACGCATTATGCGTGTCATTTTGGAATGGCAGAGGGACTCGACTCAGCCGATCAGAAATGCAAAACATCTTACTAGAAATTCCTGTTAACAGTAACAGTATTACGGAAACTTCGTCTTTACACTTCATCATTTTGAATTTTCCGGAGACAAGAACTCTGCAGATTTGTTCGGTCCTTGTCGTGTCGTCTGTGTATTTTGACCTTACTCACCTGACATTCTCCACAAGGCAAGCCGTTCGGCAAAAAATGCTTAGTCCAGGTAGGTTGACCATTATCGTTATTCTTCGTACATGTGTATGAGCATTTAGAAAAACTATGAAGCTGAAATGGAACAGTTTCACAAAATTTTAATAAAAATACATTATCACATGTAAACGTAACCAATGAGTCAATAATTAGAAATCATTGAACTTACAAAGTTTAGAATGCAGGATGTAATTTAATTATACATATAGCGTCTACCCAGGTCAATTAGATGCACTAGTGCATATTTATGTAACCGAAATTCTACAACAAATTTGAAACTTTTTTTTTGACTGATGAGTTTAATTGTTTTAAGAATAATAAAGCTGGGATAGTTTATTTTAGTTGTAAGACCTGTACCCAGAAGTGGCTTTCTAGAACTAAGACACTACAGGAATAAAAAAAAACTGAATTTTTATCTTAGCCACTTTTCAAGTGATTATACGAAAATCCGCTCAAACGGGGAAGAACGTGTGAATGATTGTTCTAAAACGCCTCATTGTAAAAAAAACAAAAAAAATATGGCGGGAACTTGTATTTTTATCTTGCGTATCCATCCGAGAAAAGCACCCCGTAGAGCCAAAGGTATGTAAGTTCCATGGTATATTGCGGCGGCCGAGGTTCTTTTTTTTTTAGAGCGCAGCTCTTAGGGGCCCGTTTCCAGCCTGAGCGGCGTCGGCGTCGCCGTTGGCGTCGCCGTCGGCGTCGGCGTCGGCGTAACCGCGCCCCTCCCTCTCCTCCTCCTCCCCCTCCTCCCCTCCTCCTCCTCTTCCTCCCCCTCCTTCTCCTCCTCCCCTCATTGTGTAGTATGGTCCGGGCGGGTCACGTGACCTCGGGGGGAGGGGGTCACATGACCCATTTCCAGCCTTGCGGCGTCGGCGTTGGCGTCGGCGTCGGCGTCGCCCCTCCCCCTCCTCCTCCTCCCCCTCCGCTCCTCCTCCTCCCCCTCCTCCCCCGCCAAGGTCACGTGACCCCGGGGGTTGACTCCCCTCCCCCCGCCGAAGTCACGTGACGGCCCGCCCAAGGTCATGTGATCCCGTCCCCTCGAGGTCACGTGACCCCCCGGACCTCTGCCCTCCTCCTCCTCCCCCTCCTCCTCCTCCCCTCATTGTCTAGTATGGTTCGGGAGGGGAAAGGGTCGCGTAAGAGCACAGCCCTTACGCGACCCTTTCCGGCTTGAGCGGCAAGGAGGAAAGCAGTACGAAGGTGGAGGAGGGGGGAGGAGAGACGAGGAGGCGGAGGCGAGGGGAGGAGCTTGAAGGACGAGGAGGTGGTAAAGGAGAGGGAGGGGGAGGAGGAGGGGAGGAGGACTAGCAGGCATGATCACGAGGGAGGAGGAGGAATATACCCTCCACTCCTCCTCCTCAAGAGCTGCGCTCCAATTCGGCGTTACAGGAAGTTGTAAACGGCTTTCACTTTTTTCTCTAAAGGCCCAGTCACACTGAGGCAAGAGTTGGACAACCCTATCCGGCAACACGAGGAAATCGTGTTGCCAGCGACCCTGTCGCATCAAGGCAACAACAGTCGGGCAACATGTTGCTGCCACCCGGCAACCGTGTTGGCCGATTTGTTGTCCGACAACCCTGTCACACCGCGCTGACTGCGGGAACAACACGCGGAATACTCCGCCCTCTTGATTTTATACCTTCGTTCGTGTGCGGCGCGGCGTTGCTGGAAATGTGACTTTACACAATGCTAGCGCGTGCGAAGAGCCGGAAATTACCACGGGACGGCATCAACCAGTGACTGTGATTAGAAAACTTGGCATGAGGTCTATACTGTAACCCTTATTTTACCAAAATGTTCTTTATTTTCTGACAAAGTGGATAGCCCTAACCAAGGAAATTGAGATCGCTGATATATATTCTGGATCTACGCCACCTTATGAAGTGTTTCTGTCCGGTTCTTTCTTTCGTGCAATCCCTACTTCTGCGGTGAAATTGAGTTTTTGCTGGCAGTAGCCCAAAACGTTTTTCGAAGCCTTGTGTTGAGCTAACTGACAGTGCTTAAAAACTGCGACACAGACACGATCGGCCTTCATAACAATCGGTGGAATAAATATTTTCAACGCTGTTTATTTGCCTACCGCCTGCTATGTGATCGATTTATTCCCCAAAACGTCCTGGGTACTGATGAAACAAATCAGGTGTCTGATAGCGGCCGTTTCCAAATTCCGAGCACCAGCAATCATGATCAAAGTGGTCGTTTCTATGTTTCGACTTTTTAATCCAATTGCCTTTCCTGGATTAGTATTAATATGCTTTATTAGCGGGTGAGTAGGCATGGCATTTTATTTCATAACACTAATGTGAACTGGTTTGGCATTTCTAATTTTAACACCAGTCTGAACGTTCACGACCATAGCTTGACCACTTCGACAATTGCTTTCCTAATTACGCAATAAAAACATTCCTCAAATTATTTTACCTGCACGCCAGCCCTAATTATTGTTAAATAACGTTTTCCACGACTTTATTTGAGTAAGACGTTATTGATGCGGCACTAGGTAAGTCATCGAAGCTATTTGTGTTGTCGGGTTGCCGGCCCGAAATTCGCTCCGCCAGCGATCAGGGCAACAAGCGTTGTGCAATACAAGTTGCTGTTTTTGTTGCCGAAAGCTATCATACCGAGGCAACATTTTCGTTGACGTCCATGTTGTGCTGTTGTTTGCGCGATGTGACAGGTTTGTCGGACAACACGGGGAGCGAGCAACAAGTTTCCCGACTGTTGGACAACGTGCTGTGTTGCTGTTGCCATCGTCTTGCCTCAATGTGGCGGGGCCATAGGCATTTTGGTGGTGATACGAAAGGTCCTGTTCACTTTGCATTGTTAAGAGATTTTCACCACTGTACTTTTGCCTCTATTTCGGCCCTCTTTATTGGTTTATGGTACTGTGAAACCTGTCTCGGACACTTAGCATTCCTAGAAGGTCCGGGAAGACGCCAATAAGAAATAGTGTATGTCTAATTGCAAAAAAAAATAAATTAATTTCAGTGTTTTTTTGAGTTATTACTCTAGCGAAATCCGTGTTCCTGATGCAAAAGCTAGGCCAGATGACGATCGCTAATCAACCAAGTTAACTGTTCATTCGATTCGTTTTTCATTCGTGGTCTCCCTGGTATAAAAGTGACCATCTGGCTTTAGTTATCTGTAAATGTTAGTTCTCTGTCATTTACATATCTTAAGGTATTACTCTTCATGAGGTTATGCAAAGAAAACATACCGAGCGTTGTTTCACACGATATCTTGTTTTAGAAAGCAGTAAAACAGTTTAAGAATAAAATTACAGTTCGCTGGTGCTGTGTCTAAAATAGTAAATTTTCCTTGTCTAAGCTTTTCTTTATCAGCGACAAGGGAAAACGTTATATGTAATACTACAGAAATATCAAAACGAGTATAATTAAGCGTTTGAATATACAGGCCATTCAACTTAAAGAGCTTAAATGGAGGAAAAAAATGCACCTCCACAATCACTTGCCTAGAACTAAAAGAAGAACAAATAAGGAGCAATACAGCTTGTTTAAAACATTGGAATGACCCATTGATGCTTCAGCTCATTCTTGAGCCGGTCCTTGAAGCAGAATTTGCCAGACCGTTTTACCTAATTTGCTAACAGTCCAAGATATTCATGCTTTTCAGCTAGGTCAGGCGCTTACCGTGGCGCCAGAGCTGGAGCATACCGTCGTTATAAAATCTCCAAGACCCCGACTGCATCTTTCTGCTTCCTGTTTCGGTGGTTGGGCTGCAAAAATATATACATTTTACTTTAGTAAAGTGGTTAGTTGGGCGAGTTGGTTATGATTGAACATGTTTAAACTTGCGCACAAATAGAAAGGAACAGAGAAGAGGGAAGAGAGAAGAGACAAGCGCAAACTCACAACTCGATGTATTGAAGGAAGAAAAAAGAACAGCCCTCGGTATCAGCTCGAGCCGAGGCCACACTCGCACGGGGGCACCCCAGCACGCGGAGGACACACACCATCAACCACACTCGTACGACTGTAGAAAGGCTATTTTCTTGTCGGTTAAAGCCACAGAAGGATGGCTGACACAACGCTCGCCTAAGCGGAGTATACTAAAGGCTTCAAAAATTTCGCGAGTGTGTTTTTCAGTGAATCTGCCAATTATCGAGGTCTTTTGTAAAGAAGGTGTACACTTACACGCTTGACAATGCAGAGGTAGGTGACCCCCCATTGTTGAATTTAGAGAAAGATTGTGTTCCCTTAACCGGTCATTAATACACCGTCCCGTCTGTCCTACGTAAGATCTGCCACAGGAAAGGGGAATGCTATAAACCACTCTGGGTGAGCAGAGCACGTAAGGGCGGACGTGTTTTGTGCGGCACCTGTGTTTTGTAATATTTTCTATTTTTGCTCCAACTTTAGAACAAATTTGACCCATTTTTTGAGGTGCTGACATCACTAAGGGGACTCCGTACCTATTGGCTACCTGTTTGAGATTGTGAGATATTCTGCGTATACACGGAACCACCACCACTTTTTTTTTGTCGATATCACGTGCAGCTTTTTCGCATCCTTTTACTTTTTTTATCAGAGTTCCTACCACTTCGGTCAGCACCTGCGCTGGAAAGCCAGACGCTGTAAGCCTCTCAATTTGAGCATTAAAGCTGCTTTTGATGGTGTGGAGGCATGACTTCTTTAGGGCTGAAGTAAGGCAGGAAAGAGCTATACCTCTCTTTACGACTTTTGAGTGCGAGGGCGTATAGTGCAGTAAACCTTTTTTAGAACGGGGTAAAAATGACCAGCACAGGTGGTTTGTTTGCAAAGATAGAGAAAGGTCTAGAAATTGCAACACACCTTCCTTAGGAGTTTCACAGGTAAAAATAAGTCCTGAACCGCACTTGTGGAATATGTCCATGATGCTACTAATTACATTATTGTCCAATGTATTTTGGTACACTAGCAGAAAATCGTCTACATACCTAGGTATGTAGACGATTTTCTGCTAGTGTCCCCGTGCGAGTGTGGCCTCGGCTCGAGCTGGTACCGAGGGCTGTTCTTTTTTCTTCCTTCAATACATCGAGTTGTGAGTTTGCGCTTGTCTCTTCTCTCTTCCCTCTTCTCTGTTCCTTTCTATTTGAGCGCAATTTTAACCACATTTTACTTCTTGCACGAAGGGAAGCTTATTACATCAAAACGTAAAACTCTTTGTAGCACAATAGTAAATTATTTCAAGGCTTTATTAGAGGTTACTGTTTACAACGCGAGCTAGGTTGAGATAATTCTACCTACTACAGCTAAAGCTTTATATAAGTAGTCTAGAGGTGCCCAAAACACATACAACAAATTTATAAACGTACAGGAGAAACCAAATGACCTGACCAGTTAAAAAAAAAACACGAAAACATGTATAAATAATTTGAGACATAGCGATATAATTTAGCGCTCACTAAGAAATTGCTCTTATGACGGTCGTTCACATTTGTTTCCCTGTACGCCCCCTGTTTTTTCTTTTCGTTTTTTTCTGGTGGGGAAGGGGGAGGATTGATTTTTCCACCATGTAAGGCCCCCCAGGTTGAAGGCCAGAGACAAGCCTGCCGTGACGCAGGCTTGGCAATCCTAATGGTCTTGTTTGGACCTAATGCAGTTTTGGCACACGCCGTTAGTTAGTTCCAGGTTTCCTTTTTTGCTTTGGCGCTTCCCTGGCCCGCCAGAGAAAAGCTACTCGCGCACTTTCGAATGGCGGGTCTCCAGAACTGTGTCAAACACCCTCCCCTTCCACTTCAGGTCGCTTGGGAAAAGAGGGATGGCACTCCTTAAGAGTAAGGGTGAGCGAATATCAATATTTTCGATTACGGATCGAATACGAACAGTTAGCTTTGAATACCAACTAGAATATCGAATAGTTGAAGGCAAAAAATTGTAAGGGTGCAGGCGAGCTGGTGGAAGTTAACCATAGTTTTGTTTAACCCGAGACTGCGGTAATTCGGAAAAGGGACGAGAAGAAAAGAGACCACAAGGAGGCGACGTCTCAAACCCAGCTCACTTGAGCTGGGTTTGAGACGTCGCCTCCTTGTGGCCTCTTTTCTTCTCGTCCCTTTTCCGAATTACCCCAGTCTCTGGTTAAACAAAACTATAGTTGAAGGCAGGTGCATTTATTCACAGGATTTTCATATTCTCCTGCCGAAATTGCAGTTACTTTGTTTTTAACTGCAGAACTGCAGTTGATTTTTCCGCATGGCAATTTGCAATCTGACCGAGAATGAAAACACAAGAACGACAATTCTATTTATAGGGAAGATTACAAGTTGTCATGCAGAAAAATCAACTGCTGCAGATCGTCAGGTAGAAGGCGCTCCCTTCGAGCGGAAACTACACCTCCAGCCAAAGAAAAAACTCCCTCACTCGGCACTGAAGTGGCAGGTATTGCCAGGCATTTGATGCAAAGCTTCGCTAGACTCGAATATCTTACGCACGCGACAGTTCGCGACCACTCACAGGAATCACTCTCTCTCTCCTTAGCAGTGCCTCCTCCGCATACGCTAGAACTTCCCATTCTGAAGCTGAAACCACTTAGCTTTCCATTTCATTTTTGGCTGATTAGTCAAATGACTGCCAAACATCAGCTGACGGCGTTTATCCTTGCTCTTGTGACTGTGTTGTAGCTACCGGCTGGGTTTCTTCAGTAGCATCACATAAGGTTAGCTCTTGCAGCACCTAAGCTTTCAGCCATAATAATTTTTCCTTTTCGGCTTTAAAAATAGTGGACTTGAAGCGTGGGTCTAAGAACATAGCAAGGCATTCTTCCTTGTCCTCCTCATTCAGAGTGAATCTTGCCGTGGTGTATCTTATCAGCTCTGCAGGAAATTCTGATGCCTCAGCACAGTTACCCAGACATTGGAGCATAGCGAAAATCATTGCAACTAGGAAACACAAGGACAGATACTTCTCACTACTGGCAATAACAGGAGCATCAAACAATGGCTTCAATGGTTGTACATATTCAGAAGCATCTTTCCATTTTTATGAACCAATTTCATCAATGTCAAAGTCCGAGGTAGCAAGCTCCGCAGTGACTGCTTCATTGAGTTCCAGTAGGCGAGAAAACATTAGATACTGAATATTCCATCTCGTCTGCACGTCTTGCACCAGACGTAGTGCGTCCTTTCTCATCTTCTGTTAGCACTCCTCAAGCCTTTTCTGAGCTGGTGAACTGTGCTTGTACTGTCTCACAATATGCCTCACTTTCTTGCTCAGGCGATCAATGGCCGGCGAGCGGGAACTCGCGTCATTAATCGCCACTTGGAGCGGATGCGCGAAGCACGCTCTTTCAGTCCACGGAAGTCTCCTTAAAGCAGCACGGATGTTGCTTCCGTTACCCGTCACGATGGACTTCGCACATTCATTGGGTATCTCCCAGTCATGGCATATTTCGTCCAGAATAGTTGCGATTTTTACAGCACTGTGACTGGCAGCCATCTGTCGAGTGTTGAATGTGAACCGCTTCATCATGAATTTTGGAGTGAGAAGATGGCAGCTGAAGCTCACGTAACTTTCGTTAAGCGCGATCGAAACCAACGCTTCTTTTTGCGCCTGTAGGTCGTGCGGCTGCGGATGTGACGTATTTTCGTGACGTCGCGCCACTTCTTCGCTCCTTCCGGGCGCGCACAAAAAAGTTGGATAATTTCAACTTCTTTCTCAACGCGCACAAAAACGCGCGGTGACGTATAGGGCGCTCCTGTGTCCCGGCCAATCGGTGGAAGGCAAGCTAGTTCCGGCTCCGCGTTTCTTCGCCGCCTTCTCAGAGCAAGTGACAAAAGCGCCCGGTGCGTATCCACAATTGGCCCTCTCCTCCCCCCACTTTTATTCTCTTCCAACATAACGACGCGATCTCTCTCCCTCTCTCTCGCCGCCTTCTGGCTGCGACAGGCTGGCCTTGCCGGCCAGTCTGTTGCGCGCGTGCGCGCTCGCCCGAAGCTGGCCCGTCCAAACCAAAGCGCCCGGTTCTGACTCAGAAAGCGCGCCCGGAAACAGCAAAAACGTCAGGAAATGCGTCACATCCGCAGCCGGACGACCTACTGGCGCAGAAAGAAGCGTTGGTTTGGATCACGCATTAGCGCGCGATCAGCACATGTCGCTTGTGAAGGCAACAGCGGTAGTGCCGCCTTCAAAGGCACTGCTGATCTTTCTTTTCACCTTCTTTCGGGTGTCGTAATACGTCCGTGGCACAAGCACGCGCGAGAGTGTAGAGCGGAATCGTAGGCGATATTTGAGAATGGCTTCTGTCAGAAGGTCTTTGAAGCCGCGATCTTCCACAATGCTGTGTGGCTGTGAATCAAGCGCCACCATGGCGGCACCCTTGTTATTTAGTGCTCGCGACCTCTTTTCTAGCAGGGGCTCCGTGCGGCGCACGAAGTCCGTCAGCGTCTGTTGAAATTTTCCTGGCATACTAGCGGTAATCCCACGATACTCTTTCTACAAAGCATGATGCACTTTGAGATGGTTGACAAGGGGCTTCGTGGTACCTGTGGGCGTTTTAAGCCATCGATGTCGTCACCCTCGCAAAATATTTCCAAATAGCACTCCTCTCTCTTCGTTTTGGTGCCACTTCCCGCTCGTTCCTCCGTTTCGCAGACGGTTCCCGGCAATCACCTCCATCCGCCATAATACTGGTGGGCGAACGCGAAAGTGAGCCCAGTTTAAAAAGTCATGAGTCACAAAGGAACAGAAACTTGCAGATTACCGCTACCGATACTGACGTCACCAGTTTAGGCTGAAGCCG